AACTATGGATATGGTAGAATTTGTTTTGGTAACCTTGTCTGCATCCCGGTTGGTTTTGTCCTGTTGTTCGGTCTATTTCGGCGAGCGTAGCGGTGCTTTCATGTGGGACCAGTCATCCGGGCTTTTTTTCATCTTTTTGACATCCTAGTTGGTTGTTTCCCGTTGTTCGGCCTATTTAAGGAGCTGGGCGGTGCTTTTATGTGGGAATCATCATCTGGGATTGTCTTTTATGTTTTTTGTCCCAGTAGGAACGGTTTACAAATGAAGATACCAACGTCTTGATGACAAACAAGGCCATCTGCTGTATATAGATATGTAATCTGGGATTTCTCTTTTTTTTGCAGACAAGAGTTTTGTCCTGGGTGGTCTTGTTTGGTCTGTGAAGGAGGGGCGGTGCTTGCATGTGGGACTTGTCATCTAGGATCAGTTTTTGGTGCTGTTGCTTGTTGCCCCCTGTTTTGCTGTATTTGGCTGTTCCCTTCCTCTTTTCTTTGCCTCTTTGCCCTTTGGCTGTGTGCAAGTGGGTCGATATGACACACGGGGGTGGGGGCAGCCGCCGCTCAACTTACATCCAGGTGGGCGGCCTTGTACGCAAGAGGTTCTGAACAGGGGGAGTTGTAGGAAAGAAGATAAAAAAACGAATTACTTTTTTCGCCTTTGCGCTCTGATTTTCATGTGACGATATGTTTATGTATATACACACCAGGATGAATAATATTTCTTACAGAACTTTCCCCCTGTGAGATGAACCTGCATTTACTTTGCAGGCTGTTTCCCAAGAGCAATTGGATTTTGTTTACTCCTGCTTTTGGGTAGGTGTAAGTTGCTCTGGACTGTGTAGACTCAGCTCTCGAAATTCTTCTCCATATAAGTGTGGGGAAGGTTTGAATGTTCTAGTTATCATGGTTGTATGGAGGCAGAGTCTTTCAACATTTTCTGACTTGCAAAATCTCTCTCTCTCTCTATATATATACATATATCTGCCGTTCTCTCTTTATGTCTTCACTCATGTCTGCTGTTCGTGCAGGATATGTGGTTGCTTTTGTTTCCTTTGGGCTTGTTGAGACCAACTAACATCCGGCTTGCTGTATGTGTGATTATTTTGTCGTATTTTCTTAACCAGGTTTTGGAGGGAGTTATCAAGTACAGATGGAATGCATTGCCTGTCGAGCAAAGAGAGGGTATCAAGAATTTCATCTCAGATCTGATTGTAATGGTGGGTTTGATGGCCCAATCTTTTTATGGACATGTTGTTAGGCAGTTGCTTCTGCACATTCTACCTTGTGGCCGTGGGTAGCTGATCGTTACTGAAATGATCAGCTTTTCAGCCTTGGCTGGTGTATGGGCATGCTGTATGTTTGTCAATTTCTTGTCGTTGGGTTGATATAGGCATGTTAGGCAGATGCACTGCTCATTCTACTTTGCGGTCGCGGATGAGGATGTCTGGGTCTAAGCATACTTCAATTTAGGTCTAAGGTTTGGTGTGAGATGTGGTCCTTCCAGAATGCACCTGTTGGTTCAATACAAATGTGACCTAGGTGAACCTCCCATGATTAGTTGTGATGAATAAGTTGTGGCTGCTGAACACAGCCTGGCGTTGATGCATGACATTCAAAGACCCTTTCCCTTCAGTAAAAGGGTTTAACGTGAATGATCTGACTCCAGCAGGGGTCGAACTCAGCAGGGGTCGAACTCAGCAGGGGTCGAACTCAGCAGGGGTCGAATTAAGCAGGGGGTCGGACTCATTATCTGTTTACGACCAGTCGGAGGCCAGGTGGTTTTTAAAGATTTTCTGATCCATAAACATGTGGTTTTCTTTGCGGTCGTGCGATGGGGTGTTGGGAAAGGCGGCGGTTTCGGAGGCTCATGGGGATAGGTGCTGCTTTAAGAAAAGGAATCTGGACATGAGAAATTGGGGTTTGGAATGTTCATTGTGTCTGGTTGAGTTTTGATTCTGAATTTGGATTATGGTGATACTGTGTGTGTTGCAGCTCTCACGAGACGAAACCAGTTTCCGAAGGGAGCGCCTCTATGTCAACAAACTGAACGTCATATTAGTACAGGTGAGCTGCACTGCACCATTGCAGTTGGACGTGTGAGATTTCGAGCATAGCTCCGCTGGTCCACCATTGTTGTGGGAGGAACAGGTGAAAGCTGGCGAAGTGTTTGTGACATGGTTGGTATATGGATTGGGTCTTACTAGATTGTGTTTCAACAGTCTTTGAACCCGAAGGGATTGGGGGCTCATGATTGACGAGTATATGGGTGGATGATCTACACAACATTGGGATGCAAGAGGCGGGGGTGACAGGTGGTGGGTGACTGGCGGGGGATTGAATTGGGTGTAGCTGTAAGGAAGGAACATGTATGAGTGCATATTTTATACACGTCCCAGATGGATGCAAGGATGCATGGAAAGGATGCATGCGCTCCTAAATTGGAGCCCTATTGTGAGGTTCACAAAGAGTATGGAGACCTTTTGTGAGGTTTACAAAGAGCATGGAGACCTGAAGCTGACCTACGCTGGCAGTGTTATGGGCGTGCTTCATTTTAGATGAAGGTTTGCTTTTTAGATGAAGAAAAAAGACACGCCATGGGGTCTGCTCGTGATGTTGACATTGAAGCAGTGGTTCATTTTATGGTACATTTCCGGGAATGGTTTGATTGATGCTCATATTCCCCCGTTTTGGGGGCTCTTTTCTCCCTTTCCTGATCGACTTTCCCCTGATGGATTTCGTGTGCAGGTTGTGAAGCATGAGTGGCCTCATAGGTGGCCCAGGTTCATTCCGGATCTGGTTGCAGCGTCCAAGAGTAGCGAGACTCTCTGTGAGAACTGCATGGTCATTCTTAAGGTATGCCAACTATACATGTATGAATGCAATGCACTCCGATGAAACTCTTTTCCAACCTGTTCCAGAATATACAAACGCGTGGGTTCAGGACATCATCCTGCAACTATGGGGCTCGCTGCAACGCTTGCCAAACACCAACATTTTGAAATTTGAATGCATTGTGAACACTTCCAGGTTCAAATACGTTCAGAATGTTGGCGAGTGGCAATTTGTCCGTTGAGGCTTGGCGAGTGACAAGTTGTCTGGTGAGGCCCTATGAATGGAATCGTGACCCAGTAAAATTTTCTGGCAAAGCAGGCGGCCTGCAGTTAATACCATGCGAAAACCAGGCGAAGCGGTGGTAGATCTGTGTTAGCTGCAAGATGGGTAGAAGGTGGCACTAATATATCTGCCATGTCGTTATAATGTGAACCTTAAGAGCCATTGGGGTTGAGGCGGCAGCGGAGTTATGAAAGTGCCAGAGGAGGTAGAAATAATGGCGGGGAACCTTACAAACTGACGACAGGAATGATAATGGAGAAGAGAATTTGTGAGCTAGTTGTTAGGCTGTTTGAGTTCTGGTCCATGTAGTTGTTTGGCTGTCGAGTCGCGGTCCATGTGCTGAAGCCAGTGAGACTGAGCGTTGCTATGTTCATAACATGGGTGCTACAGCTGTTGAGACGTGTGCTCTGCTAAGTAGCATGGATGGGCAGTCTTGTCATGTCATCACATTGGCGCTGTGAGTGAAACATCTAGGTTGCTGGGTTGTTCGACCCAGAAGAAGCGTACTGAATTGAGCTGTGCAAGTGAACTTGTTGAGTGAAATCTGTACTTCACGATATTGTGTAGCTGGCAGGATCTTGCAGTGGGGTGATGCAAAGTTTTGCTGACATGATCACATTGTCTTTCCTTTGTTGTTCCTTGTAACGAAAGCTGCTTAGCGAGGAGGTCTTTGATTTCTCCAGAGGGGAGATGACTCAACAGAAGATAAAAGAGCTGAAGAATTCGTTGAACAGGTGGGCAACCATGCGAGACATGTGATTATAGTGAACATGTATCAATGCATTGTTATGATATAACGATGACTTCATTCATCTCCCATGTCTCCTTCCGAGCGATTCTCTCCCCAAATTGATCGACTCTCGTTGTGGCTCCTGGCCAAAGCTGGCAGGTGTACACACCCGGAACTTTTTGAGAATTTTAGCTGTGCAATTTGACAATCCTAAGATTTGAAGCAAAAGGTGAATACGCCCCAAACTGTTAAGATTATAAGGACTGTTTGTGGAGGCTTGATAGAAGTGGTAGAAGAAATGAAAAGAAAGAATGGACGCTGTAATATATTGACGAGTGGGTTGGAGTCTGAAATGCAGGCTGTCTATCCAAAACCAAGGTATAATGCGATCATCATGCTACAGCGGCTAGTTGTCATGATGATGGTGACATCGTCTGTGATCGTGATTGTGTGAATGGAAGTTGTGGTAAGGGAAGAGGGGCAAGCAGGAAGGAGCGATTATGTGTTTGCACCTTTTTTTTTGTGTGTGTTTGTTTTTAATGCTTGCGAGTGAGATGTGATGTTCTTGTCATCCATATGATCGACTGCTGGAATAACTTGCATGGTTGCGATGTCTGGAGCCTCTGTGTTTGTATGGGCACAGTGTGCTTTCATGGGGTTGCTATGCCTGCAGCATCTGTTTTGAATGGGCACAGTGGTTTTGTTGCATGACGACGGGTGTAGATATGGGATATAGCAGCATGTGCGGCATTCTCAGCAGTAGCTTGAGGAAATGGTTGCTGGGCAAGGCAGGGATGACAGTGGGATTTCCTCTAGCTTGTTGTCGTTATGTCAGTTTTTTTTGCTCATGCATCAGACAGCCCCGAGGTCCAAAAGGCTGTGCTTGGTCTGGCGTGGTGGGTGGGGATGACTGGGGGAGTTTAATGAGGCCAAAACAGCGGTGGTATTTGTGCACGTACTTTCTGTTGTGGATTTTCTTTGACTTTTTCACAATCATTTGGTGATAAATTTTGAGGTGACCATCAGCCTGCCTGTGGCTGGTAGTGAGGCGGGGCTATTGGGTGGTGGCACATGACAATGTCATATGCCATATATTTTGTGTCCAGAAATTTTGTGTTTGGGCGCAGGCATGGTCAATCGTTTTTCGCAGGAGCTGTAGATCAAAACAGGAGCGTGCACATGCACAACTCATAGATGCACAGTGGGCATGCACTATACGGATGGTTGGGAAAAAAATGAAAAAAAAACGCGGAGGATGAAACAACTGAGAATGAATTTTTGTTAGAAAGCGAGGTAACGCCATTCATCTGATGTTGTGGTGTTGGTTGGCCTTTTGTTGCTCTGACCATCTGCCTCAGCGAGTTTCAGCTTATCCATGAACTCTGTCTGTATGTACTGGCGGTATCAACGAGACCGGAGTTAACACGGGAGACTTTGTCCACTCTCCACGCATTCTTGTCGTGGATTCCACTTGGCTACATTTTTGAATCGACATTGGTAAGTTTGCAATGGGTCACCCAATTTATTTCAATATTTTGCAAGGCCCATAATCGAAGGACGGACTTTTTGTTGTTCTCGAACGAGCTCACGGCAACAGCCTTGCCGCCCCATCCGGCGGAATGTATATATATATATTTTCCAAATATTTGTCAATGGAACTCATGCGCGCAGGCCAGTGCTGGCACTGTCTATGCGCCACCCTGTCTTTGGAGAATTATCGACATGTTGCACGCTCACGAGTCTTAATGTCTGAAGTCATCAATCATCATTTCAATGTGCAGTTTGATCAGGGGTTAAAGGACTAAGGTAGTAAGTACATGCCAGCCATCGGCCACGGGCCGGTTTTGGATCGCTTGCTGCTTATGCATTTTATCAGCATCACGCGAGCCTCCGGAATTTTAGGAGAGGCTTAATCGGATTCTCGATTGGGCTGGGGCCGTGTACTGGTGGTTTAATGGGGCAATGGCAGCATGTATTTTATGTAAGGCTTATCAGATTTTGTTTCCAGTTGTTGTGCAATGTTGTGCCCATATCTGTTGCAGTGTTATTTTGTTTCATGTGGATCATGCCGCTGTGCTGTCGAGGCCCCAAAGTCTGGTGGTTGTTTCGGCTATTCTCTCTCTCTCTCTCTGGTGCTTCTTGTGGCTATTATTAAATGGCTATGGCTTATGACCCTCTGATTTCGGAAGGGTATTTGCTTTGTTTATCTGCTGTGTATGAATATTCACAAAATGGCAAAAAGATAGGCCAGGTTAAGCGAGTTAATTAAACATAGAATATCAGAAAGTGGTCCCGTAAACCTGCAGCACACCTTTGTCCTTTTTCTTTTTTTTTCCCCATTTGTTCCATTTGTTCCACGCCGGAAAAGCAAGGAAACACGGAAGTATGTAAAGTGATGAAAACTTAAAAATGCAGCAAAGGCAAAGCGAGCAAGAGAATGGGAGAAGGTCAATCTTTTGGCATTGCCAGCCTTTTTCCTCCAGAGAATCCAAACTTTTGCGTTGCACCGTGTCAACCGGCAGTCGCATGCAGGAAGGTTGGCGAGCATGCTTGCTGGTGGTTTAAGTGGAATGTGAAAGAAGGGGAAATAGGAGGAGAAAACAAGCTAGAAGTGGAAAATGAGAGGGAAACGAATGAATGAAAACGTACGAGTAAAAAAGAGTTCAAAATGAAGAAAGCTCAAAGCCTGAACTGTTGCTTGCATCTTCTGTATGCAACTGCACAGTTTCGGGACTGTTGGTGCATTATGTGTGATTTATCTTCCCGTTTTATTATCTTCCCTTTTATTGTCTTGCACTACCTCGTATTCCGGAGGAGCTGAGGTGCGCAGCCTTGCACATGTGAAGTTTGACGTCTTCTACGCTCTTGTGATTGGACATGGATCTTCTGTAAGCAATTTGGTTAGTAGCTGACATGTATGTGTACGCTGTTGCTGTCTGCAGCTGGAGACTCTCCTCAACTTGTTCCCATCTGCGGCGTATCGGAACTTGGCACTGAAGTGCCTCACTGAGGTAGGATGCAGATCATGGCATGATTGTTGTCGTCCGTTCTCGCCGTAGTTGCCATAGCCTTTGTTTTTCTGCCATCAGGATGTGATGGTCTGGATTTCCTGATGTCGGAAGTGGAGGGAGCTATTTTGTGTGTTTAGCGAGTAGAAGGGATGTGCGAGTTTGAACAAAAGAGCGATCATTCTTCTGTCAATCTCACCTATGTTCCCACAGGTCATTCTTCTGTCAATCTTCTGACAGTTAAGTTTTTGCACTGTTTCTGTAGTCCGGTGTCGGTTGTGGGAATTCCTGGGCCTTGCACTGGTTCTGTACATCCGACGGAGGTAAAGGTAGTAGAGGATTTTAGAAACGTTGGTTACATTTTACGTTTCTCTGAACTTACAGCCTCGTTCCACTAGAGAAGACTCTGAATCTGGGCCTGACTTCGGTACCTGTGCATTCTAAGTGTAAGGTCAGTCCGAAGGTATCTGGTGTATGAAGCAGCCCACATGCGTGGCATGCTGTGTAGTGGTCCGAGGCCCCTACAGCGGGTAATCTGATTGTATACGAGTGATGTTTTGGGTTTTTGATGCGTTTTTAAGTGGGTGGGGAATCTAATTGCAGCGGAATGAAATTGTGCTTGCGAGTGTACCCTTATCGTTTGGGATAATCGTGGGGCTAAATTTTGCTCAGCTGAAAGTGGGAGTAATTGTGAAATGCTGGTAAACTATATAAAATCGTGGTGTCGTCTGTTTGGTGCTGTGGTGCTCACTGGTGTGGGGAATCACTGTGTCTAGTTTGCAATTGAGCTTGTGCCACATGCCCAAAACACTAAACGCGTTGCAGACGTACCAGTGTAGAATATTCACATGCCGATGTGGCATTGCATTTCAAACACGCTTTCTATTTTCGGCCATGTTTGTGGGGTGTGAAGCAGATGTTTGTGGCATGTGCTAGCATCTCACACCGTTGATGGATCCTTGAAGAAGAGGATCAGCGCCACTGCCTTAACCAGAAAATAATGCCTGGGCGGCTCAGTAGATTGGTAGCAACCTTGGTGAGACCCCAAAATAAAAGAAAAGAAATCCAAAAATATCCTGGGCTATGAGAGTGGCTCTGGACACTTTCTCGGCAGGACGAAAAAAATGGAAAAATAAAAATAAACGTATTTTTTAATCTTACTTTTTACTTCAAATTTGGTAAGGAATTCCGATGTGACCCCGAGGCAAAAAAGTTGTCAAGTTTGTTTTTCTGCATAACATAGTTTGTTTTCAGATTTTCTGGATTTTTTTTTTTTTTTTTTTTTGGCTGGGACCTTTCTTGGTCATTGCACGACGGGGCTGCCTGGGCAAACAAGAAGACCCAGGTGTAGCGTATAAAATTTCTGTAAAGAAGTCTTTTCTGTACAATTGTAATGCAAACTTGTGGCTGAGGATCACTTCAGCATTCATAAAAGATCAAGCTAAAGCACACCCCTCTGAAATGAAAACCCCTTTCAAGTATCAACCGGTTTTATACCTCATGTATACCCCCCTTTCCCCTTCTTTACAGGCATTCTACCAACGCCAGTCTCAAATATAACGCCCAGGTGTTCTATTCGAATATGACACCTCCGAAGGGGCATTGCATTGGGAAAAAAACGGGGGGGAAAAAAGTGTACTGGCTTTTTTGGGTAAGTGGAACATAACCCCCAGGTGTTATTTTTGGCTGAAGATGAGAACGTTTATGCCTTGTGCGAAGTTTGCTTTCTTCTTGTCTTGGTAGATTAACCTAGATTTATTGTGTGTGTGTGTGTGTGTGTGCGTGTGTGTGTGTGTGTGTGTGTGTGTGTGTGTGTGTGTGTGTGTGTGTGTGTGTGCAGGTTGCTTCACTCACCTGTAATGGGGACTTCTACAACCAGCACTTTGTGAAGTTGTACACAGTCTTCATGGTGCAGTTGCAGGTAAAAAATATGCATGTACCTCAACATGCTTCGGAAGGGAAAAGTCAGTCCACGAGTCTGCTCAGTGTTTTGGCTAACATAAAGTGTAGTGAGTTGCTAGTAACTGTTCTGATGAGCTTAATATCTGATCTCTGGCCAATAAGGCCGTAAAAAACGAAGGGGAAAAAAGGAATTTAGGTACCTCTTGTTGTTGTCTTTGTTTCAGCCACGTGCTTTGATGAGTGGCT